ACAAAAAACAAAAACACAACCCCCCCCCCCAAAAAAACAGAGACATCACCTTGCCAACAAAGGTCCGTATAGTTAAAGCTATGGTTTTCCCAGTAGTGATGTATGGAAGTGAGAGCTGGACCGTAAAGAAGGCTGATCGCAAAAGAATTGATGTTTTTGAATTATGGTGCTGGAGGAGACTTTTGAGAGTCCCATGGACTGCAAGAAGACCAAACCTATCCATTCTGATGGAAATCAGCCCTGAGTGCTCACTGGAAGGACAGATGGTCAAGCTGAGGCTCCAATACTTTGGCCACCTCATGAGAAGAGAAGACTCCCTGGAAAAGACCCTGATGTTGGGAAAGATGGAAAGCACAGGGAGAAGGGGACGACAGAGGACGAGATGGTTGGACAGTGTTCTCGAAGCTACCAGCATGAGTTTGACCAAACTGCGGGAGGCAGTGGAAGACAGGAATGCCTGACGTGCTCTGGTCCATGGGGTCACGAAGAGTCGGACACGACTAAATGACTAAACAACAACAAATTCTCCTCAAAGAGCTATAATTCCAAGAGGGCTTTAACAATCAATCCCTCTTCACAGCAAGCTCTGGGCTTTACTTGAGATATTTTGTTTTGTCCTGCGTTTACGTAGTTTTTTTGGAAACTTGATTGAATGCTATTGTTTGTACTTTTATTTTTAATGTAAAACATTTAGAGATTTACTATTATATAAGGTGATATAACAATGATATAAATGAACAAACAGCCATGAAGTCTACATTCTCTGTCCTAGAGATGGGCTGAACATATAATTTTGTCCCACTTTAGTCTTGCTGGTACTCAATCATAGGTCTGTACCTATGGGGCGGGGCGATATGGGATTGGGGGGGCAACTCCCATCTCTTGCGGGGGCGCAATTAGTGCCAGCACCGTCCGTTAAGAGTTTGGGTGTAATCTTCGACACCTCCCTTTCCATGGAGGCGCAGATTGCAGCTATAACAAAGGCGGCATTTTTCCATCTCCGCCAAGCTAAGCAGTTGGCTCCTTACCTCTCTCGCCCTGACCTAGCCACTGTGATCCACGCGATGGTCACCTCCAGACTGGATTATTGTAACTCGCTCTACGTGGGGCTGCCCTTGAGACTGACCCAGAAACTCCAGCGGGTGCAGAATGCTGCAGCGAGACTCCTTACGAGGTCTTCGCTGCGAGATCACATTCACCCGGTGCTATACCAGCTGCACTGGCTCCCGGTGGAGTACAGGATCAGGTTTAAGGTGCTGGTTTTAACCTTTAAAGCCCTATACGGCTTAGGACCCTCGTACCTACGGGACCGCCTCTCCTGGTATGCCCCACAGAGAAACTTACGGTCTTCAAATAAAAACATCTTGAAGGTCCCAGGCCACAGAGAAGTTAGGCTGGCCTCAACGAGAGCCAGGGCTTTTTCGGCTGTGGCTCCGATCTGGTGGAACACTCTGTCACAAGAGACCAGGGCCCTGCGGGACTTGACATCTTTCCGCAGGGCCTGCAAGACAGAGCTGTTCCACCAGGCCTTTGGCAAGGGCACAGCCTGACTCCCTCCTTCGGCAATCTTCGCGGAGCTCTGGCCCAATGGCTGCCAGTGGCTTGAATTAATTAATTTTAGAATGAATGATTTTAGAGTGTTGTTTATGCTGTACTTTTGTACTGTTTTATTGTTGTTAGCCGCCCTGAGCCCGGCTAAGGCTGGGGAGGGCAGGATATAAATAAAATTATTATTATTATTATTATTATTATTATTATTATTATTATTATTATTACCCTTCTCCTTGTGTGTGGATTTCTTGGGTGGGGGGATGCATAAAATGCCTGCATTCAAACTACATGCACCAGATCCTATCAGTTTTCTAAATCCTGTAAAACCCATTTGCATTTCCTTTCCTCTTCAGTCCTGATGACTAGAAACATACTGATTTGAAAATTAAAGCCTTGAGGTCTCAATATTCCATATTATGTCTTGAAGTGCATTTAATTAGACCCTATTCTGGGTGTTAGTCTCATCCTTATAGACTTCCAGGTTCCGGCTTCTGCATAGCCTACAGCTGAATAGATGAATACAGACATTTGGAGGAGGACAAAACTAATAATCTACCATTAGAGAAGTTGTTGAGATTCTCAACTGGCATTTGGAGCATAGCTGTCAACTTTTCCCTTTTCTTGCGAGGAATCCTATTCAGAATAAGGGAATCTCCCTTAAAAAAAGGAAACGTTGACAGCTATGATTTGGAGGCAGGAAAGGGTTGCATGAGAGTTAATAGATTTAATCCAGAAATGTTGGAGGCCAAGAGAGAGAACAAACTCTGGGATAGAAATTCAACCTCTTTTGGATGGCCCTGTAGCACCAAGTTCATAGCTTGTGGATTTAGCTTTATATCAGGGTGCACAGGTGGCAGTGGTAACCAGGAAAACCTTTCCCAGGAGAAGCCCGTATGCCAACTGCATCTGTTCCTGAGCTGACCAGAGCTTCTAAATAGCCTCAGTCCAGTATACAGGAGCGTCCAGCGCCAAGGGCCTTCTGGTGGTATCCTCACTGCGAGAAGTGAAGCTACAGGGAACCAGGCAGAGGGCCTTCTCGGTAGTGGCGCCCGCTCTGTGGAATGCCCTCCCATCAGATCTCAAGGAAATAAAAAAACTATCTGACTTTTAGAAGACATCTGAAGTAGCCCTGTTTAGGGGAATTTTTAATGTTTGATCACTTTATTATTATTATAATTAATATTCTGTTGGGTGCTGCCCAGAGTGGCTGAGGAAACACAGCCAGATGGGCAGGGTATGAACAATTAATAATAATAATAATAATAATAATAATAATAATAATAATAATAATAATTAATATGCCTTGGTTACTTCTAGGCTGGATCATCACAATGCATTCTGCTTTTGAGCAATGTACAGAAATACTGGCTGGGACAGAATGAGGCTTCAATGGTGCCGGGGGGAACTTGCCTTAGGAATCACATTGCAATGGGGTGGGGAAATTCAGCCTGAGGGCTGCATTGCCTCATGGGAAACTAAACTTGAGGTGGGTGGGAGCAGAGGCAGAAGTGGGTAGAGCAATGTATGTGTCTCTTACAGCAGCATTTCATGTATTGCAGGGATTCCACCCAAAGCAGAAATTTCACAGATCTCCCCAAGCAAGCCAGAGGAAATATTACTGCAGTTTAAGAGCACACTCCATCCAGGCATTCAAGGACGGCAAGGAGCATGGCTGGTAAGGGGTGTGACTTATGGGAAAGGGGCCTGGTCTAGGAGGGTCTGTGTTTGGGAAGAGCCCGAGGTTACCTACTCCTGCATTACAGCATAAGGAACATATGAAGCAACCTTATGCAGAGTCACAGCATGGGGTCCATCTATCTCTATACGGACTGTCAGTAGCTCTCTAGGGATCTCCCAGCCGTATCTGGAGATGTCAAAGAGTTGACTTCCTTTGGTGACAGCAGCCCCACTGCCCAAGGGGAGTGTACCAGGCAGCAGCCAGGAGTTGGTTGGGTCAGGGAAACCAGCAACAGAAGGCCCAGAGGTTCTGGGCTTAGGCACTGATAACACCCAGGGTGACCCTGTCAGCCAGTAACCTGTTGAGCATCCTCCAAGTCAGATCCTCACCTCCCCAAGGAATTATTCCACTTTATGCCAAGGGCCTCACACTCCCCCAGTCTCTGCTTGAATAGTGTAGCACAAACAATGGGAAATGTGAGGGTGGGAGGGTGGGGGGTGACCAATGAGAGTAGGAGCCAGGCTAGGGGACTGCCTCTTTAAGGCTCACCACTCTTCAGGAAGGGGCGGAGCCTGCCAAGGGCGGCCTGACACAAAAGGGAGAAAAGGCCTCTGTTGAGTAAGATACCATCAGAGCTATCCATGGTCCTGAAACGAAGGCTGCTGCAGCCACCATCACCCACACTATAAGCTGTCTTCTGGCATTTGTCCTTATCACAGCTAGGGCAGAGCAGCATCTATGAGCTTTTCCCCTCTTTGCTCCTGCAGCTTAAATTTATTTTGCTTTGCAAAAAGTGCTTCATCATCTGCCTCAGACCTACTAATATCCCTTAATGAGTTGGTAAGCAGCCACAGAGCCTAAATATTCCCTCCCCAAACTTCCCATCCTCACTAACATTTCTGAAGCCTTTGTCAGCAGACCTACCACCCCACATCCCACTCTCCTCTGAAACAAGTCCCTCAGTCCTTACATGTTAGCCTTTTCCTTGTTTTGGAGCACAACTCAGCCCAAACCAGACTGACATTCCCACCCAACCACCCCAACAGAGACCCGCATGTCTGCTTAATGTTGTCTCATGATAGAGCAATGAGATAACATCCATGTAGTTCGGGGTGAGGCCTCCATACATTGTTGGAGGACAACTCTCACAGTCACTGATCATTGTCCATACTGGATGGCGCTCATGGGAGTGAGAACCTGGGATGGGTTTGCAACACAGGAAGTTGCCTTGCACTGATTCAAACCCTTGGTCCGTTTTTAGCTCAGTATCGGCTGCCCCAGCTGCCCCAGGCTTTCCAATGTTTTAGGCATGGGGCTACACAACCCTACCTGGAGAAAGCAGGGATTGGACCTGGGACCTCCTGCATGCAAAGCAGATGCAGAAGTCCAGCAATATCTGGAGTGTTACAGGTGCCCTGGTATAGTCACGGCACCTTTTTGCAATTTGCCATTAGCAAAAGAAGCATTTCCTATCAAATCCCTGACTGGTGTCTACAACGTTCTACAACATGCAAAAAGAAGAAGAAGAAGAAGAAGAAGAAGAAGAAGAAGAAGAAGAAGAAGAAGAAGAAGAAGAAGAAGAAGAAGAAGATTAGGTTTCACATTCTTCACCAGGATTTCAAAACCACCCCATTCCACCCACCTCTCCAAGCGGCCACCTAACATGATGTGTCCTGCTAGGGATGCCATTTCTCAGTGACGTCACCAGTGCTCTGAAAACATTGCCACACCCCAAGACGACCATTTCAGATGCTTTGGCCCTCCTTCTTACCTGCCTCCAGAAGTTGGCACTGATGCCCAAAGACTTGTGAAAAGGTGACTGGGCAAACCACAGGGCCGGAGGTCATAGCTGAGGTCTCCATAACTTTGACAGGGTCTCCTGGATTAGTCATATGCAGGAAGACACTTCAACCTTGGAAGTCTGTCTCCTCCTTTATCACACCCCGTTAAGTGAAGAACGCAACGAGACAGGAGCAGGCCGCTCACTGAGGATCTGGCTCTGATGGCTGCTCCAAGGGAACTAGGCTCCTTTTCAAAAGACACTTTCTGCAATTGGTAAAGTGCTCTCTTCTCTGGCGCAGCCCGTTCCAGAAAGTCCTCTTTTGAAGCCTGTCAAATCAAGTGCTTCCTTGTAGAGGATTCCAAACGTTTCCCGGAATGCACCATCGCACACCCCATCATACATGTGCTCGGGAAGATGTTAGCAAACATTTAGGCACCAAGCCGCCTAAGCTTGCAAATCTCAACTCTTTCCCCCGTTGTTTAAAGTCTCTGGTTTTTGGTTTCTGAAGAGGGAGACGCTCTTCCCGGCTCTCGCAAGGAACCAGGATCATCTATCACTCTGTCAGGTTCCCAATGCTCCAGGAATTGTCGACGAGGCAAAAATATTTCGGTAAGGTGGCCGGCGATTTGAGGCAGGCCCCGATCCAAAGCTGCTGGACACACACCTCTCTGACTGCCACTGCTACCACCGCTGCTTGCCTCTTTGCTTCCACTAGCTCATCTTCTTCTCTGCCACCCCCCTCCTCGGCTGCAGTTGTGCCACTTGACAGCACGCAAGCGTCCACTGACGGCACAGTCCAGTCTGCCGCCTGGCATCGGTTTGTAGTTCGTGCCTCCACTCAAAATCTTCTCTCCCTCCCTCCCAATCTGAAACAGAGAAGCAGGAGGAGCTTCCGAGTGTTGCCTTTGCATCTGCTGCAGTCTTTTCTCCTCCTCCACCCCCCCCCACTTACATCCCACTCCAACTCGGCAATGAAAAAAAGAGAAAGCTCTTCTGGAAAAAGATGGAAACAGCAGGCTCAAGAGAAAGGGACCCATTTCAAGCGCCTGCCTCCCCCCACCTCTGTGTTCAGCAAGGATGAAATGATGATGATGAAGAGGACCAGAGGATGCGTCTCCCCTAGAATATAACCCTTAAGGAAATGATAGAGCCCTGCTTTTTAAAGAATTGGGGGAGCACAGAATTGTAGAATTGGAAGGGACCTCTGAGGGTCATCTAGTTCAACCCACTGCAATGCAGGAATCTCCAGCCTCTACAAGCCAGACAAAATTATGCACCTAATGGATGTTACTGCATATTCTAGACCCTGTCCATCTCCCTCCCTCTGTTGTCCCCCCCCCCCCGTGCTGATTTTTACAGTGTAAGCTCCACGCAGGCAGAGACCATTGTATAAGAGAAGCGGCTCTTCATGCAATCGAAAATTAATGTGTAGAATGCTGTGTCAGAAGTGAGTTTTCTACCCCTGAGCTGTGGCCTTTTCCTACAATACAATAACATTCCAGAGAGGCACTGTGCATCAGCATTGACAGTACTGCACTAGATGGGACAAATCATGGAATTGTATGGGTCGAGTTGGAAGGGACCCCAAGGGTCATCTAGTCCAACCCCCTGAAATGTGTGAATCTCAACTAGATCATAGATGTCAGATGGCCACCCAACCTTTGCTTAAAATGACTCCGTATAAGGCAAGTTTCCTATGCTCTTGCACGCACTTCTGCCAATGATAAAACTTACTTCCCAAGTTTTCTTACAGTGAAACATCTTATACAATAAAATTCCATGCCGTATAGGTTTTCCCATTCTCCCACATCACATTGATCAGGAAGGCCTGATCCCCCTCTTCAGGCTTTTGTTTTATACATAAAAGTCAGGGGCCGGGACACACACAGGGTTGGAATGCATCAGTACAGTGGTACCTTGGGTTACATACGCTTCAGGTTACAGACGCCGCTAACCCAGAAATTGTACCTCAGGTTAAGAACTTTGCTTCAGGATGAGAACAGAAATCGCGCAGCAGCGGTGCGGCGGCAGCAGGAGGCCCCATTAGCTAAAGTGGTGCTTCATGTTAAGAACAGTTTCAGGTTAAGAACGGACCTCCGGAATGAATTAAGTGCTTAACCCGAGGTACCACTGTATTCCCCCAAACAGACGTTAGGCCCAAAGGCCTGGGAGCCTAGGTATTTGAAGTTTCAAAAAACATTTGGGGGTGGCGCACTCTTTCTCCCTACGCACTTTGTGTCCACACGTATGGATCAGCTTAGACCATGTGCATGTGTGTGTGTGCTTTTCAGCCAGAGGGGAGCATTCCCTTGAGGGATACTTTCCAGTTGCTACATGCAGGCAGCAAGCAATAGTGGGCAAAGCAACGGGCGGAACTCTTATCATTCCAGCCACACACAAACCATCCCTCTCCCTCCAGGCAAACAAGAAGCATCTCCCCAGTTCAAGGACACATTCCAACCAGGCAAAAGTACCCAGCCAGGGTGCAGAGTGCAGAAGAAGAGAGTTTTGCCTTGAAAAGGGCTTGGTCTTAGGACAGTCCTGCTGGCCAGAGGTCTGCACTGAGTATTCAGGTCTGAAATTTTCCATTTAGGCCACGGCACCTGCAGATTATTCTTCCAACCCCCTCTCCTGCCACCCCACCCCAGCAGGGTCATATCTGTTACAGGACTACATACCTCTCATCAGTCTAACTCTGGGGTGGAAATAGGTGTGCCTTCCCCCATTTCAATTCTAAAAATTCACCATGCACATACATGTTTTTCCATCAATTTAGTTTTGTTTGCTACAAAAAAGGGAGTGTTATACATTTCCCACAAGGTGGTGCTGTTGCTTGGCTCCTCTCAGCTGAGAGGCAGTCACAGCCATCCCAGCTGCTCTGCTGGATCAGAGGAAGTAGCAGGGATCCATCTAGTTTACCAAGAAAACCACTTGCTTTCTTAAATCTACATTGCAAATAATAAACATAAGCCTGCTGCATGTATGAAAAGTGCCGTCTTACAAATCTAGCATGGTGGAAAGTGAGACTGTAAAACTTTGGAGGGTTTTTATCCATTTGTTTTCCAAGCTGAAGCCAGATGCTCCCTTAATTATTGAACCACATGCAGAGATCTGAATTTTCTTTGGGGCAGAAAATGAGTTGTGCTTTTTTTTACGGCTTAAGGAAATATTGTTGCAAAAGGCGGTAAGAGAAAATGCTTTCTGCAGTTGCAAAGCTAGGTCATTTGGAGAGTAGCTAACTTGGCATTCCCATGGCGTACTCCCCTTTCTGTCATCAGCCACAAGAGGGGAACATGTTCACGTTGCTCGTAGTCCTCCTTCCTCCCCAGGCTATTGGAAAACTCTGGGGCTGGCCACACTTGGAAGTGGTAGGCTGGCTACAGGCTCAGCAGGAACTCCACCCCACTACTTCCTGCTTGCGAAGGAAGCAGTATTGGACGAAGGCCTGGAGCCCCAAGATAGAAAATCTGCTTTGGAAGCAGATCTGATGGTCAATTCCTGGCATCTTCTGATGGGCATGGGAAGGAACGCTCCTTGAAGCCCTGGAGAGCTGCTGCCAGCCAATACTGAGCTAGATTAACCAGAATGACTTGGCAGAAGGAAGCTGCCTGCATCTTCGTTTCATAACAGAGCTATGCTTTCCCATCATCTTCCTGCTCTCCCTCTAATCCAGCCTTGCACACAACCTCCTGCAGAATGCTAGAGGATTCAGGTATCGTCAAGGGATCCCTGGCATGTACCGTATTTTTCGCCCCATAGGACGCATTAAATTTTTTGGGGGGGAAATAAAGAGAAAAAAATTTATCCCCCCCCAGGCGCTTGTGGGGCTGGCAGTGGGGAGAAGTGCTCTTCTCCCCGCAGCCCCGCCTTGAGATCAGGTCCGCGGACAGGGGGAAACGCGCTGCGTCTCCCAGCTGTCCCCGGAGCTTGTGGGGCAGGCAGCGGGGAGAAGCGCTCTTCTCCCTGCCGCCCGCCTTGAGATCAGGTCCAGGGACAGCGGGAAGACGTGCTGCGCCTCCCCATTGTCCCCGGAGCTTGCGGGGCTGGCGGCGGGGTCTCCCCGCCGTCAGCCTCCAAACCACTTCGGGAGACAGCGGGATGGCGGCGTTCCGCCTCCCTCTGTCCCCCGACCTTGTGGGGCTGGCGCTGGGGCTCTCCTGAAGCCTGGAGAGCGAGAGGGGTTGGTGTGCACCGACCCCTTTCGCGCTCCAGGCTTCAGCGAAAGCCTGCATTCGCCCCATAGGACGCACACACATTTCCCCTTCATTTTTGGAGAGGAAAAAGTGCGTCCTATAGGGCGAAAAATACGGTAATCAAATGCTTGCAAAAAGGATTCTAACAAAATGCACGCGCAGGAGTAGTCAAGACGGTGCCCTCCATAAGTGAGGGGTAGATGGCGCTCGCCAACCTGAGAAGGTAATCCTTCATAGAGGACAACTCCGATCCCAAACATCTGCTGCCTTGTGGGGTGTCTTCCTGGAAAAGGCTAAGGAGCAAACCACAAAGCTGGAATGGAGTCGCTAAGGCAGTTGGATGGTGCCTTGTACGCCTCCTTTCGGCAACTCCTGCAGCCAAGCTGGTGCCAAACGTATTGCTCTGCTTTCCTTTGGACCACATTAGGGTGGCCGAGAAGGGAGTCTTGTCATCTGGGCAGCCCAGGATCTCCACACGCACTGCCCAGGCTTGCTGTTAGGAAAACATTCTTTAAGAAACAGATAAAAGTTCCTGGAAGCTTTAAAGAGGGTTTCAGAATTTTCTTTAGTGTGTAGGAGTGGCACTCTAGGTTTGATTGGTGTCAGCTGGAGGTGCAGAGAAAGGAAGTTGCAGATTGTAATTTCCACACGAGGAAAGCACATACACACTGACAAGGTTGGAAGTAAGACAATGTGTGCTGCTGATACTGTGAGTTTTGCTGTGTCAGGATTGAGAACTACTGGACTGAGATTCTACTGAGCTGGAGAGATAAAGCAGGAATGTAAACAGCTTGTATATAATAGTAACAGAAATGCTTGTGCAACCAGTCAAGCAACAAAGAAGATCTTGATTGTGAATTTGAGTATGACTCCTGTTCTTATCCTCTGCTTCCGGGGAAAACTCTGCGACAAAAACTCTGCTACAAACATTAAGAAGCGGTTTTACCGAGGTGCCACCACACAAGCAGAAGGGCGCATTGGAAGTGTGTGGGCGGTAACCTCCAATACTTGCACCCTGGGGAGGTCACTTTGGTGCTGCTAACACAGCAATTTGACTTCACCCCCCTCCCCGAGTTGTATTCCATTTATTGAGACAGACGGATGCAAACAGTGTTAGAGGACATTCGGCACAGAAACATGTGTGTGTGCCTTTAAGAAGTTTCTGGGATTAATTGGCTGCAGGTGACCGTTGCTATAAAGGAAAAAAGCTGAGTTTTGTTGCCTGCCTGCAGGAATAACACCCACCAGAGTTTGTGTTTATTTGCTTAGTAATAAAGTCTTCATTTTAGTTAGGGTTTTTACACCTATGTCTCCTGGAGTCACTCTGTCCTCTGCCACCGGCTGGAAATCCCCCTCCAACAGGTTATGGGCCCAGTCCCCAGTCCTGAGTGGGCAGAGACAGAGCGTGAAAAGAACCCAGAGACTGGAAGCAACTCAGCGTTTCTCAAGCAGCTGGCTGTGTGAAGGCATCGGCAGGGAGTGTCTGTTTGGGACCAGGAGCCGAACATTTCTTCAAGCCACGTGTGAGTAAGAACTGAGTGGAAAGCTGAAAGCTGGGTGGCGCCATGGCTGGACTTGGAGCTGGAGCTCAAGGGGGAGCTTCCTATTTTCCAGTAGAGAAACTGGGAGAGTCCAATTATATGTCA